GCTTTGTTGGTGTAGTGGAAGATGAGCGAGGGGTCGATGGCGCCGGAGCGCGTGGCGCCCGGGAGGCCGTTGAGCGGGGTGAGGCCCATGGAGGTGTCGAGGGACTGGCCGTGCTGGATGCAGCACGCGGACGCGCCGGAGCCGAGGTGCAGGACGATGAGGTTGAGGGAGGCGGGGGGCTGCGGGGGATGAGCATGGAGAACGTGTGTCTTAATAGGCGTGACAGACCTTTTGCAGAAAGCGTGCGACTGAACGCAAAATGAACGCGTCTAGAACGAATGCGGGGTAAGCGGGGTAATGCTGTAATAACAAACGACGCGTACAACTCAGCCCGTGGAAGCCATACTTCTTCAGCCCCCGCTCCTTCGCGATCTTCTGGTTGATGGCGTAGTTCGCGATATGCGGCGGAATGGAGCGGTGGAACGCCGTGTCGAAGAACGCGATGGATTTCGCGTTGGGGAGCTGGGAGAGGCAGGTCTTGATGACGGCGAGCGACGCGCCGTTGTGACTGGCGGCAGGTAAATGATTGCTCTCAACGCAGAATGGCGGCGTACAGAGGTGCGAGATCCGAGAGGCGCTCGATATGTGTGTACGCCTCGTTGTTGATGACCACAGGGTCGTGGTAATCCCCGCCGTGCACAACGCGATGGCAGACGCGGGTTATTTGGGCAACGTCGATCTTCGCTTCCTTGCCCAGGCACTGGACGAAATACGCAAACGCAGAGGCATGGTCGTGGATGGACTGTGGTTGCCCGTCTTTGCTGGTGCCGTTGACGACCTTGAACGAGAATTTGGCTGGAGGGGCCGAGATATTGGAGATGGAGGACGTGAGCACCAGCTCGACTGGGTCGTCGCCGCCTTCCCGGATACCGTACAAAGATATCTTGAGCGACGAAGACCCCGCGTTCACAGACAACACTAGGTTTTGAGAAGGCATTCGATTGAGAGACTTGTAATATGTCGGAGACTTCTAATAGGACCGTAGAGCGCGCAGAATGACGTCTGTTGTGGACCCAGACTGACGCACCCGATTGGAGCGAGACTGGGCCGTCTTCTCGTCCAGCTGACCGCCCAGCAAAGCGCACTTATCCCGGACGCAGGTCGAGGCAGACATATAGTAAGGCGCAGCAGAGGAACGAGCAAGGGCTAGAACGAGGGCGAGCAGAAGCAGGAACCAGCAGCAATTTCCTGATTCGGGACTTCCAGGCTCCACTGGATCTTTTTTTTTGAACCCGTTATGATTCTTGTCAACGGTCATCGGCGTTTTCCCCTGAAAGGTCCCCAAGCTCCGCACAAGGTCTTGTTCGTGTCTGGGCTGGCCGATGACGCCTGTGGAGACTGTATAAATGGACTCGGAATATCTCATCTCAGCCAATCTCAAAGCTTAGAACAACTTCCAAATGCCTGCCCAGATTCTTCTACAAGCTAATCCACCGGCCGACCCGTCTCTGTTGCCGGACTCCGTGCTACAGTTGGGTGTCCAATTGGATACCAGGAACTACCTCCCCGAGGATGAGCTCAAATCCATCAAGATGTTTCGTCGCGCCGCAGATTATATCGCGGCAGGTAAGCTACTTGGTTTTTGTATCGTGTCCTCCACTCACAGCACGGGTAGCCATGATTTTCCTCAACCACAACACTCTCGTCGAGCGCGACATAACGCACGACGATATCAAGTCGCGTTTGCTGGGACATTGGGGAACATGCCCCGGACTTGTAATGGTCAGTTCCACTTTGAGACGCTGCTTTCCCGGCAACTAAAAAAACTTAAGGTCTACGCGCACCTGAATAGGCTGATCTGCAAGAACAATCTCGACGCGTTATATGTCGTGGGACCGGGTGAGTCTAATTTCGCATTGACTGATCTCTCTCTCTAACCTTCTTGCAGGACATGGCGCGCCCGCCGTCCTGGCCAGTCTATGGCTCGAGGACTCGATGTCTGCATTTTATCCTGAAATCACCCGTGACCGCGAGGGCCTCCACAAGCTCATCGCGGGCTTCAGTGTGCCGGGCGGCTTCCCGAGGTCAGCTATCCTTACTTTGCTTTTCACAGCAGAAGTTCTAACGCGTCTCCAACAGTCACGTCAATGCCGGGACGCCCGGCGCCATCCACGAGGGCGGGGAGCTGGGCTACGCGCTCAGCGTGTCGTTCGGAGCTGTCATGGACAACCCGGACCTCGTTGTCGCATGTGTGGTCGGAGACGGTGAGGCCGAGACCGGCCCGACGGCCACTGCGTGGCACGGCTTCAAGTACATCGACCCCAAAGAATCCGGCGCGGTGTTGCCCATCGTGCACGTCAATGGATTCAAAATTTCTGAACGGACCATCTACGGGACGATGGACAACAAGGAATTGACCGCGCTCTTCACGTATGTGCATATCATTCCAGCCAGATGTCGGCTGACACCATTCCTCGCAGTGGGTACGGATACCAAGCCCGCATCGTCGAGGATGTCGAGAACATCGACAACAACCTCGCCGCCTCCTTCGACTGGGCCCTTGCGGAAATCAAGAAGATCCAAAAGGCCGCGCGCTCGGGCAACCCCATCGTCAAGCCCCGCTGGCCCGTTCTCATCCTCCGCTCCTCCAAAGGCCTCGGCGGCCCGAAATCGTTCCACGGCGAGTTCATCGAGGGCTCGTTCCACTCGCACCAAGTGCCCCTGCCCGGCGCGAAGACCTCTGCGGAGGAGCTCGCGGCACTGCAAGCGTGGCTCAAGTCGTACCACCCCGAGGAGCTGTTCACGGCGGACGGTGTTCCCGTGCCCGAGGTCCTCAGCCTCGTCCCCGAATCCGCAGAGAAGCGGCTCGGACAGCGGAAGGAGGCCTTCCGCGGCTACACGCCGCTCAGCGTGCCGGAGTGGGAGGGATTCTGTTCGAAGCAGGGCACGCAGGACAGCTGCATGAAGGCGGTCGGCCGGCTTCTCGCCGCCGTTGTCAAAGAGTACGTTGACCCATTCCCTTATCGTTTACTGCTGCTGATGAGTACTTGCAGGAACCCCGACAAGTTCCGGATCTTCTCCCCCGACGAGCTCGTTTCCAACAAGTTGGACGCAGTTCTGGACGTATCCGGTCGGAATTTCCAGTGGGATATCGAGTCGCGTGCGCAAGGCGGTCGTGTCGTCGAAATCCTCTCGGAGCACACCTGTCAAGGCATGTTGCAGGGCTACACCCTCACAGGCCGCACCGGGCTGTTCCCCAGCTACGAAGCTTTCCTCGGCATTGTGCAGACGATGATGGTGCAGTACTCCAAGTTCACCAAGATGGTGCGTCCTTTATCCTTCTTAGTCCTTCCTGGAGGCCAAACAGCTTGTTGCAGTCGGGCGAATTTTCGTGGCGCCAGCCTTGCGGATCACTCAACTACCTTGAGACGTCCACCTGGGCGCGGCAAGAACACAACGGCTTCTCGCATCAGAATCCGTACGTGCTGGTCTTTCATTTTTTCTCTGTAGTTCATTGATTGGTTTCTCACAGGGCCTTCATCGGCGCCGTCCTCAATCTCAAGGCGGCCACGGCCCGGGTCTACCTCCCGCCCGATGCCAACTGCTTCCTGTCCACGATGGCCCACTGTCTGCGGGCGAAGAACTACGTGAACCTCATGGTCGGCAGCAAACAACCTACACCTGTGTGGCTCTCCCCCGAGGATGCGGACAAGGTTCGTCAACTTCCTCCAGTTATATGTATTTAGACTGACCTGAAACAGCACTGCATCGCCGGCGCCTCCGTATGGAAATTTGCTAGCGTCGACGAGGGCGTCGACCCGGATGTGGTCATTGTCGGCATCGGCGTGGAAGTCACCTTCGAGGTCATTGCCGCCGCGGCGCTCCTGCGCAAACACGTCCCCGCGCTGCGCGTGCGTGTGGTAAACGTCACGGACCTCATGATTCTCAGCGCCAAGGCGTCGCACCCGCACGCGCTCAGCGACGAGGCGTTTGATACGCTCTTCACGCCCGACAAGGCGATCCACTTCAACTACCACGGGTACCCCATCGAGCTCAAGGGCCTGCTGTTTGGCCGCCCGAGGCTCGAACGGGTGTCGATTGAGGGGTATCGTGAGGAGGGAACGACGACGTCGCCGTTTGATGTACGTGCTTCTCATTTCTGACAATAATACGAACTTTACCAGGGACATAGATGATGCTCTGCAACCACACTTCGCGGTACGACGTCGCCGTCGCCGCCATCCGTGGCGGAGCCCTCTCGAACCCGAAGGTGGCGGTGAACGCGCACGAGTACGAGTCGTACATCAAGCACCTTGCCCAGAAGGAGCGCGACTATATAATGGCCAACGGAAAAGGTTCGTCTTCCTGCTTCCCAATACCATCTCTCCTCCCTGATCGCGCATCTGCAGATCACGACGACACGTTCGAAACCCCGACTTTCGACTGAAGCGAATGAATCAAACGAATTCGGCCTTGTTTCTTGTAGAATCTGTAATAAGTGCATGTACATGGACTGACAGGGACTGTCCTAAAAAATTGTAAACTCTTACCCAATACAACGTTGTTTTTGACAAGAGTCGTCGCTCAATAAGTAGCTCAGCGTGTACTAACAAGTACTACTTGTTATGGTCTCTTGCGATATCCGGTGCCTCGTTATAACTTGCAGTGCGGAACTCTACTGGTTTCTGGGCACAGCCCCAGCTGAAGCTTGCGTGGGGGGTCGAACTGGAGACTTCCCGAAAAGAACGGCCAGATTCAGAACTCGTCCCAAAAACTAACCAAAAAAGCCAAAAAAAAACGGCGTTTCCTGCGTGCCGCCGCCGCGGCAAAAACGTCCACACTCCATCAACAATCCTTGTCCTTCAAGCACACGTTAAAAGTTAACCCACGCCCAACAGCCAGCTTTGGGGCAAAAGCTTTCTCCAAGTCCGTTCCCCCTTTCGACTGGGTGCAATGTTTGGCATGTTCCTGTTGATCTAAGCATTCCCTGGGCTGCGGGGCATAAAAACAGGCCCAGGGAATGCGGGGCATAAATACAGGTGTAAGACGAAGCAAAAGAACGACCAAGGTGGGACTCGAACCCACAGTCTCTGCCTCTGAAATACCCGTCAGGTATTCATCGGAAAGCAACGCAGTAACCATTTTGCCACTCGGCCATGGTTGTAACCGAGGCGTGGAGGAAAGGAGTTGGGCGGATATGTGAGGGAAGTTCCGTGATCAGATCAATCAGAGCCGGCCATCACAAGCCCATACATTCAAGTCAACCTTCATCAGAATCATCTGCTCGTTCATCTCAACTCGAAAAAAAAGTCCTCCTCCGGCAGTAGACTGAGGTGTGAATGGGACGAAAATTCCCGCGACAAGGACGTGAAAGCCCGACACTAATAGCCCGACGCGTTCCGCTCTTGCAAGATGATCCATAACCCGGTAAAGCAACCTTACTAACTGGTAACTGGTTAGCGCACTGACCTTGGGAAGTGCCCTGGCCGCGGACGTCACACCGTAGATGCGTAAGTAACCGTTCAACCGAAGCCGTCACGCCAAGTTCGTGGCCTCTCGTGAGTAATATGGTAACTGTGGGCTTCTTACTCACCCAAGTAGCGTCTATGTGGTCTCGCGCAGTGACTCAGCTCCGTGCATCACGACAGCTACTCAGAGTACTCGACAAATACCGAGGAGGACTATATATGCGGCCTGTTCGCTCACCTTGAACACAATGTCCTTCCGTGATCTAGGAATCCCTACCTCTGAGGCCACGGTCTCACTCACTGCTTTCGATATTGTTTCCTCTCCACGCGATGTGCATGTCCCCGCGTCGGTGTTCTTGAAGCCTGTGTTGGCGGGTCACGCCAATCTCAGCGCCCCCGCGTTTGCGTTCCTTGTTGCCCACGCTGCGACGGGAAGACGCGTCATGTTCGACCTCGGCCCGCGAAAAGATATGGAGAATGCGGCGCCAGGAATAGCGGAGGCGGTCAAAGCAGGTGTTATCGTCATGCCAGTTGAACACGACATTGTCGAGCAGTTGGCGGACCATGGGGTGGACCTTGAGAGTATCGACGCTGTTATCTGGAGGTACACTGGTTTTTCGCGCCTTGAAAGCAGGACAGCACTCACAGTTCATTCAAGCCACGCCCATATAGACCACTGCGGTGACATGTCAAAGTTCCCTGCCTCAACCGAGCTCGTGTTTGGTGGGTCAACGGTGACAGAAACCTACGCAGAAAATGCCAAGAGTACGCTTATCGAAACCGATTTGGTGTCAGTAGTCTTCTGCTCAGAATCTCGGACAGTTAGCTGACTTGGAGGCAGCGGCCGGAAGCTCGTGCCCATCAATTTTGACAAATCTCAGCTTAAGATCGGCGGGTTCACGGCGCACGACTACTTCGCGGACGGCAGCCTCTATATACTGGACGTACCCGGTGTATGTGTTCATGTGTTGTTGATCTTCAATCAGACCCTGCGAGTTCTAACACGACTCCCTGCCTCCAGCACCTATCGGGTCACGTCTGTGCCCTTGCGCGGGTGACGCACCAGCTTCGTATTTCTGGGAGGTTGGTGTTTTATTCTCTTGTGTTGACAGCGAGCTAATAATCCTTCTACAAGCCGACGCATGCCATCATCCAGGGATTCTGCGGCCCACCGCAAAGCTACACCGCCATTTCCCTTGCCCAGGTGACATCCTTGCCGCGACGCGCCTCTCCGTATCCGCCGCGCACTTTCCTCCCCCCAACGGTGTAGGCCAATTTGACCTCCTGGCGCGCTCGGTGCCGATGCTCGACATCGCGGACAACGGCAACTTCGAAGAGCCACCCGTCGCGCGCGCATCGATCGCGAAGATGGCGGATTTTGACGCGAACGAGGACGTGTTTGTTGTGCTGGCGCACGACGGGTCGCTCGTGGACGTCGTGGGGCCGTTCCCTGCGTCGCTCGATACGTGGCAGACGAAGGACTGGAAGAGCCGCGTCACTTGGGCTTTCCTCGACGAGGCGAACCCGGCGTTCAGGTTTAGCGAAAACGAGCTGGAGGGGGAGCATCCGCCTGCCGAGGCTGGGAATCTGCCGTCGGTTTGGATAGGTCAAACTTAGTTGCATTTTGTGAAACACAGAACAGCACAAGTAGTACCGAGATTTACAATTTTTGGTACAAATTATTATACAAATGCTCGCAATGAATTCATCTGCTTCATTGGAAAGTCGGGGTGTCGAAAATATCGTCGTGATCTGCCGCAACGCCATTAGTGAGAGGAAATCGCAGCGGTGAAGCAGGGGGACACCTTTTCCGTTGGCCAATATGTAGTCCCTCTCCTTCTGTGCAAGGTGCACGATAAGGGTGAGCGGGATGGAGCAGTTCCCCGGGCCGGCGCTTGTCACGGCGCCCTTGACGGGCTGCATGTGCGCGTCGAGGGCGTGCTGCAGCGGCTGCACGCATGCCACGACGAGAGAAGCGAGCGCGGCCCACAGCGGGACGGTCATAAACTCGTTCAGCGCAACCCACGCGCGATACAGCCGCCGCCGGAAGCGGCGCAGGCCACCAGTTTGCGAGAGAGTGGACGGCCGGCGCGCACGGTGCGAAGGCCGGCGGACGTGTTGCGGAGGATGGACTGGGCCGCAGGGTTAACGTCGCTGTCGATGGTAGGAAGCCGAAGAAATTAGCAAAAGGACGCGAAATCAGGAAAATGGGCGTACTGTTTCGACGACAGTGCCCTTGGTGCTGTGGAACTGGCCAGTGGTCTTACTAGAGGAAAAGACTGGGTTAGAAAATAAATTCTGGGGGGAGGGCGTACTCGGGTCCGTCGGAAGACATGATTGTTATAGAACTTGTGTCTGAGAGTGGTTGGCCCTTTGGCACTTTGGGTTGGTTGTTAAATTTCTTGAACGCCGCCAGCCCCATCGGAGGCTCTCTCTCCTCTTTTTCTTTCTTGGATACGTGAGGACGAGAATGCATCGAGAATGCGCGTTTGTTGGAGGCGGAGGTTTCCAAATCGGGCCCGGCAATTTCCGACCTGACTTTCTCCTCTCCGATTTCAGCTGTGTGAGCTGTGCCGACCACTTTTAAGCAGGTCCAACTTCTGGCGCAGTACTTTCCAGTGGAGATGGCCCAATTGTACGCGACCAAGGGGAAATAAAAATTGACTTGAGAATGGTCGTACGTCAAACCGGCGGCGTGCAGCAACCCATCAACCGAGCAGACGCAAGCGTTGGGGCTTTGGACTGTGAAGAGGGGCGGAGATATCTCGTCGACGTCGTCATCCGTCGGCCCCTTCAAAAATCGTCAAGTAAGTGAGTTTGTTTCCCAGAAAATGTAGCATTCCGTGTTCTAGATTGTTTCTGTAGCTCCGCGACTGCAGAATCCCCATAACGGTCACGGGTTTACCTTCCTTTGTCTCGAACCGCGTTCACCATTGTTTCGGCGAGTAAATTTCCTTTTCTCTCTCCACAACCCCCACCGTCAGAGATTTGCTAACTCTCATCGACAGTCTCCGAGGTACGAAGTTCCGCCTCTTCTGCCGTCCCGCAGGCTTTGATACAGCTGTAGCTGCGCGAAACCACTCGCCGCTACAATAGGGCACTAAATTCGCGCAACGCAAGAAAACACGTCTGGTCCCGGGGCCGAACCAATTCCCGCCCCAAAATCAATTCCCGAATTCATGCCACCACCTGGTCCCTCTTTGACTGCCATGCCCCAGCATGATCGCGACGACGAACCCTTGGAAGCCGGCCCCTGCTAACCCTTACCCCTTCCCCATGCCACCGCTACCATCCAGGTGTCCGGGAGTGCTGCAGAACCACCGGTTTCGGACGTCACTCCCCAGCGTCGGGACCCCGCGGCTGAATTTGAAGTTGCGGAGGCCGTACGGTTGGCGCTCCGATCCGAGCTCCGCCAAGCTTGGGTGGTCGAGGATCCTACAGCATTGCCTTTTCAGGAGGGTTTAAAGCGCAAAATAAACACTGCACATCCTGGCCTGGCAAAGAAGGCGGAGGATTGGCTGGCGACTCGAACGTCGGGGTACGACGATGCACAAAAATGTTGGAGCAAGGTCCCCGAGGAGCCGGAGCTGGAAAAAGAGCTTTATAGCCCACTGACAACTATTTTGGGCGGCATTGTACAGAAGTTTGTGACCGATTCGTATGATGCAGACCCTGGCGAAATTCCCCTCACGCGGGAAGTCAGGCAGACTTGCCACGCGTATCTTTTGCAAGACGACTTGGACCCACCGGAGTACGCCACTCTCAAGTGTTCGCCCGATATATCCATCCTTGGGACCGGTCCATCGGCGACCAGGAAAAAGCAGATCTCCACACCCGCCACTTACGATGACATGACCACCCCCATCGAAATCCAACTTCACGATACGTTCGCGGGGAGGGTCAAAGACCAGGTGTCTGTCTACGCTCGAGAGGTTTTCTTATACCAGAACAACCGTCGTTTTGTCTACGTGCCCGTCATGACGGGCAAAACGATTCGGGTCGTCCATTTCGACCGCTCGGGGGTCCAAGTCTCCCAGCCGATCAACTATCACGACCAGCCCGTTTTCTTCGTCCAACTCGTCGTTCTTTTCAGTTCCTTGAATGAGGAATTGGTCGGCTTCGACACCTCTATCTACTGGAAGGACGGCAAGCGCATGATGAAAATGATCCCGGACGAGATCTGGGTCCAAAACGGCGCAGACGGGCCTGCTTGGAATGCTAACGACGAGAATTTTCCTCTCGAGTTCGAAATCGTCGACAGGGACGGGAGACCTTCCGAAGATCCCGAACCCCTCTTCGAGAGGCGTACGATCCGCTCCCGTGGAACCATCTGCTGGAGAGTGCAGTACGAAGGCCGGCAGTTGCTCGTCAAAGACTATTGGGGAGTAGCTTCACGGCCACTGGAGTCGAACTTTCTGAAAGACGTCGCTATGATTAAAGGCATCGGTCAGCTCTATGCTTTCCAAAACAACAGGGATTCCACCTATGGCTTGCGCGGTCTCAGTGCCGATGCCTGGCTGCACTCGGACATCGATTCCAGCTGCCTCGTTCCCAACCGAATCTTGACCCGATTGGTATTGAGAATCTACGGGAGTACTCTCAACAGGGCTTCGTCCGGCCTTCAACTTCTGCGTGCTGTGCGAGATATTGTTTGTGGTACGGATTGTTGCTTTCTTGCTCACCTGCCT